TCAGTGTTTCCATGGGATTGCAGCTGTTTCCTTCTGCACTTCAGCCACAGCTTTGATGCTCAGTGTATTACCTGCATCCCCTGAACTTAAAGGAAAGAGATGGGGATGCACTTTTTTTCCCTCAGCTGAGGCCACCAGATAAGATTTGCTGGCTTGGATCACGTGGTTTGGATCACATCACTCTTCAGCTGCACACTAAGGCCATCTGCATAGTGCATCTTCTTTTGTAATCAGTTAGATACAAAAGTTACTGGGAAATTACCCTGCTAATGAATGGAGGACAGGCAGCACAAGGTGATGGGGCATGTTGGAATGCCCAGGATTTCACGTTTCTGTGTCTGGAACCAAATACGTCCTTCTAAATTTGTCTGCTAACTTTGTTGAAGAGGAGAGGCAAGAATTTATCTTCAAAGTCAATTAATATGAAATAGCTATTAATTAACATTATACTTAAATTTGCCAGTCATCACACCTGACTTGAATTTGCAGACAACTGTTGCATATAAAATACCACTAAGGACACCGTGAGCTGTGGCACGCTGCAAAGGGTTGGAGCAGCTTTGCCAGACTGAGCCCCCCCAGCACCCATCCCCCTGAGGTTTGGGTTGCTGGCTGTGTGCACACAACCCAGGCACAGGCAGCTCTGTGTATCTGCAGGCATTTCACGGAAAAGAATAAAAATGACGGGGTTTAATTTGAGTTAGTGAAAGTGCTGCTTGTTTTTCTCCTCAGCAAAGCACCCGCCTTGTATTAGTGAGACTGTAAAGGCAATCATGTTTTCTGATGAAAGCGTAAGGCTAAAATGATGTCTCCTAATGAAGATTGTTTTGATTTATTCCCTGTATGCGGCACAATTTTGCTTCCGTAGCTTTTGGAAACAAACTTTAATTTTGTGTCTCTGGCTGTTGTTGCTGCGCTGTGCCGAACCCACGAGCTGTTTAACGCACAGCATAGAGGAGTGCATTAATGCAGGTCCACAAAGCGAGCGCTTCGATTTGCTAATTGCTCACAGAGCGGAGGGTGTTGTTGTGGAGAGAGCAGCTGCTCATTACAGATTGAGCAGCTCATTTTTCTGACCAGCCAGGCTCACCTTGAGCTGCTCACCCATCATGCAGGACGCGTGGCTCGATCTGGAGCAAAGCAGGAGGCCAACAGCTGCACTAACATGGCCAGATTGCTTGGATTTCCTTCCCACCCCCCCCCTAACTCTCCTGCCCCGGCTCCTCTCTCCTCCCAGCTGGGAGAGCTGGGTCCGACCCGTGCCTCCCCCCTGCACACCTGCTGTTGTGCTGCCTTCCCGTTTGCATTTGAGCTATGAAATACAATGGAAATAATTACAGCAGGAAGATATAAGAGATTAATTATTGATGAAGGGAAGCGAGCTAAGCAATTCAGAAATGTCTCCTTGGGAGCCAGATCAGTTCCTCGCCTCGGAAGCTGCTCCTGCCCCTTGCAGCCCAGCACTGTATCACAGCAAGGCGGGAGCACAGGTTATCTGTCCTTCCCCACTGCTCTCCTATAAGGATGACAGGAGCGCTGACAGTAGATTAGACGGCGTTGTCATGTAAGATGAATGTTTGGAGTTGACAAACCCTTTTTTCCGTGGGCTTAAAGTAATTGACTGAATACTTGAGAGGATTTTTTTTTCTGCTTGTTCTACTTATTTGGTTTTCTTTACCTGTTTATGCCGCCTTCAGTGGGCAAATTGGACTTTACATGTATTTGTATATCTGATTCTTAAACTCAGCATCTGTTTGCTTATCAGATTACTTAATGCTTGAGCTCAGCGATCCATGGGAATTTAACATGGGTATTAAGTAATAAGAATTTCCTCAGAGCTTTAAGATAACTTCTGTGCATATTGTGAAAATGCATCACAAGTCTTTCCTACCGAGAGATTCCCAAGACACCGAGGTGGATGCGTTCAAGCTGAAAGCTCTGAGATGGGGCTGGCAAAGTGCTCCAGCACTGCTGTGAGTAGCAGCCCCATACCTGCTGGGGAGGGGATGCTGCTGGAGTGGGAGGCTCTACGTGTCACCTCCCTTCTCACCCACCTGCAGCTCCCCACTCACACCTACCCTGGCTGCAAGCAGACAGGGAGGATGGAAGGGAGACAAGAAATCCAACACTTCCTTCCTGAAAATATAAATGATCAGATGCAGTATAGCAGGATTTCTTTCAGGCCTTTCCAAGGCTGCCCAGCAAACATCCGAAGTGATAACGCTGTGTGCTATGCCAGAGCCCTTTGCAGCTCCTGCCTCCCAGTGCTGCACTGCTGGCAGCTCCGCCAAAGCGCACTGATTAAGTGAGATGTGGGGAGAAGTTCAGAGCCTAATTTCTTCTTCATAATTAAAAATGTGTGCATCTGTCATGCTGCTGGTGATTAGGTTGTATTTTCTTGTGGCCTAGTAGGAATATGGCAGTGAATCACTTTGCAAGCAGCTGTCCTCTAACAGCTGAGCTAGGTTCAATATTTGATTTAAGCTAATAAAAAGTCTGGGGTAGGGCTAATGTTTACAAACTGGATGTGATAAAGCATTCAGATCATCTGTTGCACAGCCAGAAGGGAGCAGCACAGGGGCCCCAGTGACGTGGGGCTGCGCCCTGTGCTCCCAGGAGCAGTTCTGCTGGAGGGGCCTCCTCGTTTCCAGCCCTCCATCATGTTGTAATGGCTCACAATCCATTAAATGTGTCCCTTTTGCTCTTCTGTGAGAGCTGTAGCCAAACCGTACAGTTAAGAATCTTTTAATCTTCATAAATAATTTCTTCTGGCAATCCAGTGAGCTTGGTTGCTGTTCTCTGGATTCCCTCTTGTTCAGCTGCCTGTGCCCTTTGAGATGAGCTGCCTAGAAATGAATGCAATGAAGAAAACCTACTCTGATTTAATTCCTATCTGATTGCTTCTCCAAATTGTATTGATCTGCTGTTATCAAGCTGCAGCTTTGAACTTGCTGTCCAGGTTTGCCTGTAGGTCTCTACTGGCATAACAATGTGTCAGGTTTGTATTTGGTTATTTTCTCTAAGACATACACCAAATAAATTATGGAGTATTTCCTTCTTATGCTCTCATCTGCTTGTATTATTTCTTTCCTGTCCAAAAGTTTTTGCAGCCTTCTCCCAAAGGGGAAACTGACTGACCTGCCCTCTTCCACTCTAAATCACCCCACAGTGTTATGGACCCCAGTGCTGTCCAGCAGGAAATTGAATGGAGAAATGACCCTCAAACTGAGGGTCATATGAGTGATGGCTACAGGAAACACATATGTAATTCTCCGTGTTTCTTTGCATCTCATTTAGAGCTGTATTTTCCATTTAAGGGTCACCTTCGCTTAGATAAAGCTAATGAAAATACAGAAAAGTGCCTTTTAGTTTTTCTAAATCAAAAATACTGTCAGTCCCAGAGTGTTGGACAAAGTCTATGCTGACCTCTCTCATAAAAAACATCTCTGGGAGGAGGCTTTCTAATTCTTTGCCACATGACTCTCTCCTGGCTCCAACCTGCTGGTGTAATTCTGCCTGATTAAGTATTAGTGAGAAAAAAAGATCTTTCCAGGTGTCTGCAAATGTACACTTTCTTGATGTTTCAGCATCCAACTTGGTGATAATTTCATTTCTCCTTCTTGCTTGCTCGTACACGCGCTCCGTGTTTGGTTGGGACTGGCATCTCCCGCAGTGTTTAATGAGTGTGTTTCATTTCCCTGTGCCGGGTCCCAGGCTTCTATTAAAACCCCTTTCATCCTATTTGAGTGTCTGTTTCTTAAGTAATACCACATCATCCCATGCCCCGCACAGCAAGAAAATGTTTGGTTTTTCTTTCCATTTCCACTGAGCTCTGCGGCCAGGGCAGTCTTGAACTGCTTGGTTGTTTGTATGCAAAATTAACCTTATGCTGTGCTGAACCCTGAGAATGCAGTGTTTTATTTGCCTGCATTTCAGTGCCGTTAGCCTGCAAAGCTCAGTGTTCTCCTTTTCGTTGTAATAAGCTGCGTGCTGTTTGCTTCTGGTTTGGATGTAGTACTCAAAAGACCCATTTTGTGTGTGGAGAGAGATTGTTAGAGAGGCTCTAGAGGGTTTTAATGAATATCCGCCTGAAATTACATGAATTAGTTTGCAAGAAAGTTGTTTTTTTTTCCCTGCTCTTGTTGTGTTTGTTTCTGTTGTTTAAATTAGCTTCTCTGTCATTGGTTGTATCTATTTTTTGGGCTTTCTGCTAACCAGAGGAATGCAGATTGCAGTGCTGTGAAGGAGAAGGCATGGGACGAATTTGCACTGAAGGAGGAAACGCGGCTCCTCACAGCCACCTCCAAAATATCTCCTTTCTAAATCCTTCCACATAAACAAAATCTTGGAAAGCTCCTCCTATGAGTCATGTTCCCATTTCTCTAGAAATAATACAGAGATACTGTAAGATGTTTCCACTCTGGTTTGACATCCTTTGAATTTCAAACTTCCTTTTTAAAAAGGGAAAAACAAACCCTTGCACAGCGATGTGTTCTCATGGGTGTTCAGTTGGGTTATATTGCAGAGAGGCTTTTTCTGGTGTTCTACCACAATTTTAGAGACTGCTAAAATCAACTACTTGGCCCAAAAGTCTTCAACAAGGTATTTTGTGTGAAGTTACCTTTACCCTCATCGCTCCTGTCAGTTTCGCAGTGAGCATCTTCTTGCTCTAAAGTTCCTTTGGAAGAGCAGAGAGGAAGCTCAGTTCTCAGACCTGACTGTAGCGTGCAAATCTGGGATGGAGAGCCCAGAGGGTTTCCTCTCCACAATGAACCCGTTCTGTCTGGTGTACTGTAGGCTCTTTTGGGCAGAGTGACCTCTCATAATGGGATACTGAGAGGGTATATCAAGACCTACCACTTAGAATTGCTTTTTCAATGCAGTGAAAATCACATTGCCTTTGGCAGTGGTTTTTGGTTGGGAGTGGGAAGGAGGATGGTCAAATCAAAATTCCCTTAAATGTCCTAAACTTTGTTTTCTTTTTATTTTCTGTCTCGAAGGTTCAGATGTCTCAAGTTCTGGAAGAAGTGGGAAATCAGAAGCAAAGAGCAGAGATGGTAAGAGGTGTTCTTTTTTTTTTTTTTTTTTTTTCTCATTTATTATTATTTTCTTGATGCTTCACATAGCAGTAATGTATGCAAAGTTCAGTGCCTTTGAAATGTGGATCGGTTCCAATTACTTGGATCTGGACAGCAAATGAACTCTTAAAAAGTTTGTATTATTGTTAGCAGTTTTGGCACTGCTTGTCCCTTCATGTACCTGGAACAAGCGTTGGATGAGATCTGCTGATTTGCCACCCTTCTTTTGGCAGTTTTTCTTTGGTTACTGTCTAAGATCAGAAGGAAGCATTTCATTTTACACCGAATTAACTCCTTTCTTTGGGGACCTCTGATTCAGTCTCAAGTGTGCAAAGGACGAGCAGATGAGATGCAACAATTACACGGACTAGTTTGTTATAACGGGTGTTAATTTTCTGCTGGTTTTGTCTGTGTTATTGGTAGTTCCCTCAAGGACCAAAAGCAGTAGAAGCCACAAGTGGTGTGCCCTTCCATACTAGTAGTAGATTGTCATACATCTCGTAGTTTATCCTTTTTTCATTTGGCTGTGGTGCTCCTTGCTGTTTCAACATCACATTTTCTATAATGGGAGCAGTAATTGATTCAGATTCTGAGTTGATCTTTTATTGTGGGCAAACATTTGTATGTTTTTCCATGCTCCATCACTCTCTGTGGTGGCATAGCTCAGGACTGATACTTCCAAAGAAGACTGAATTAATCCTATTTACCGTCTGATCTTGTTACATGCTGCCTTGTTGCAGTTCTAAATTCTACGCAGTCAACTTTGTATTGTCCTCACTGGATGTACCAGAGGATAAATGTGCTGTTATGTTTGATGTGCATTTGAAAAAAAACCAAAGCATTTCAAAGATTTCCTTTCTGACTTGCAAAGCCTGGCTTTTGAGTTACTTGTTTGCCTTCAGAAGCTTGTAGCATTAAACAAGCTGGTAGAGTTGGAGGGATTGGAACTTACAGTGTTAAGGCATTAATTGGCCTTGTGCATCATCCATCAGCAGAGAAGAAAGAGGCAGTCGGTGTTCAGCACCTATTCCCAAGGGTTACTTGGTGGAAAACTTCAGGACTTGTGATCTTCCTTGGAAAGCTTACATCCATCTCACACGAATAGGCTGTATTCTGTAGTGCTCTAGCTATGGATTGCAGGTTTTGGGGTGTGGACTTTGTTCTGCATTTTGATTCTTGTTCAGCAATTGTAAGAAAATTGTCACGTTTCCTCTTTTTCCCTTTAGAGCTAAAACCTGACAGTCTTGTTCCTCCTTTTCACTGAGGATAGATGGTTCTCCTCCATCCCCCGGTGAAACCTCCCTGGTAGGGGAAGATGTCACCTCTTATTTCCTGCAGTGTGAGGTGGCAGAGGTCTGTCCCCTTTGGATGGGGCTGTCCTGCTCTCCAGCTGCCCGCAGGCTCCAGCAATTATCCCATCAACTCCACTCTCCTCCTTGCCACTGAACAAGAAGTTCGTCCCTTGGTTCTTTTTGCTTTTTTCTTTTTTTTTTAACTCCCTCCAGATCAGCCCCTCACCTGGACAGCCTTATTTTCAGGCTCAGTTAAAGCTGGTGCTTCAGCAATTATTTGCCTAATTTGGTTTCTTCTCCTTTCTTTTCACCTCTCCCCCAGTTTTTCACCCGTCATCCATTTCTTGTTAGGTTGATGCTAAGCCTCCGTGGCCGGGAGGATGCACAGAAGCCTGCCTGCTCCAGGTGCTGAATATTGCTTTTCATGAGCCATTCTGCAAACGGCCCTGTGGCTGCTAGGCAAAGAGAAAAAAGCCTGTCAGGTGCTATCGTACAGTCTTTGGATGCTTTGGGGATAAAGCTCCGTAGAGCTGACATCCCTGCTGCCACACTGAAGAGTGCTAATGACTTTCCCACCTACCCCAAAGCACTGCAAAGGATGCAGTTTGTTCTAGGACTGGTGAACTCTCTGGAATCCCATTGATGAGTGCTGGGGATTCTCCTGTGCAGTGGGGAGCATCTTCGATGCCCTGGTAGATCTTTTTTCACATAGCTATATTTCGATGTAAAATGTGTCGTAATCTGTGAGGATTGTGGCCTAAATAAGATGGGATCTGGATGGTCTGTGCCCATGGGACAAGAGGTGCCAATTTCAGGTCATTGTGTCCATAGGGACAATATAAGGCAGCAATGTGTGCTGTAGGGGATTCTGTGAGGACAGGGCCGTGCCTTGGGGGGGGGATGGCCTTGCTGTGCTCATTGCTGTGCAGAACTCCAGCGCACGATTTCACTGCTTAGCTGCTGAAAATGAGTTGACTACTAGTAGGAAAAATAAAAAAAGGAAGAAAAGAAATTTAAATGTCTTCAGCTAATTGCAGTTGACAAGACAAAGGCAGTTTGACTTTCCAGTATTAATTAGCAAACCCGTACTAATTAGCTTGTATAAGCACAATTCATGCTTCTTTCCCTAAATGCAATTAATATTGCAACTGAAGCCGTCTCTGGGCTGTGCCGCTCTATCATTAACATACCTTACCCTAATTAGGCACGGCCAGTAGTGGCTGGAGAAATGAGTTTGTGATTACAACCATAAAAAATCCTCTAATATTTTATATCCTTCAGGGAATCTGAACCTCAAATTCATTTTCTGATTTAAGAAAAATTACCCGTATCATTGTGCTGTGTAATTAGAAGAATGAAACTTTGATTTTTCTCTCCTTGCAATCCTTCACTTCTTTATTTTTCTTCATGCTCAGTTTGAGTGCCTTCCTGTTAGGAGGGAGCAGTACCTGTGTGTTCTTCTGAGAGCTGGTACGCATCAGGGTCATTGCTCACATGACATAGCTCATCTCTCTCAAGTTTGAGGATATTCTCCTTTTCTTATTGGCTGAAATAATGTTTATTTTTTATTTATTGTGAATCCATTTTGGTCCTTATGCTCACTTCTTTACTTTGTGTAAATATGTGGTGCACTTTCTGACAGGGTTAGCAGCACTGGAAGTTTTCTCTCCTAAGGGTAGTGCTCAGATAACTTTCTCTGCAGGACAAACTGGGAGGTTCCATGCAGCATCTGCACCTATGGCTGCCTGCCTGTGGTCACAGGATCTTAGTTCTTATGGTGCGCTGGTTTAGTGCTCTCCGGGTGCAGAGCTAGGGGCTAGCTCCACTGGTGCTCAAGTACTACTCATGGAAAATGCTTTCCTCTTTTATATTGCTTTTCTTTCTTGCCCTGAAGGAGGGAAGCAGAAGATAGTTGCTTTTTCTAATTTTCGTTTGCCTTTTTCATCTCTCCGCGTGGCCAGGAGAAAACTGGCTCAAGCTTACCATCCGAGCTGCCACTGTGATCCCTGATCTCACACTTTCTTTCAGTCTGGTTCTGTTGCATAGGGCATTAATGTCAAGTTTTTTTTTCCCCTGTCATTAATCCCTGAGGGAAGCGAGCCTGGTATTATAGAAGTATCACATGTATTTTCATTGCCCAGAGATGCTCTGGCTATCGTTGGCTTTCATCTTCAAAAAGCAGCTTGACTCAGGTGGACTCTGAAATCTATAGACTGCTCATTGGACCAAATGATATTTCATCCTCCAGCAGATTAAAAAGGATGGCTATAAGAATGAGAATTACTGTGCGGGGTGGGAGGGGAAGAAGAAGTCCAAAGATGTAGTCATCACAAAATGAATGGCATAAATCGAGTGTCCTTACAGAAGAAATAAAGACCTCTCAAAATGAAAACAACGAGTTCCCCTTGCCTTAAGTGAATGTGTTTGCTAACCCTCTGCAAGGAACAGGAGACCTTTATTTAAGGGCAGCAGGTCAGGAATAGTTAAGGAGCCAAATCGTGTGTTCAGTCTGAAATGGTAGTGTTGGGATTAACTTAAATGTCAGTGACTAGCTACATTGATGCTTATCAGGAGAAATAATGAAGACTGTAAGGAGGATACATGGAATAAATCTGCTCAGAGGTCACAGCGTGATGTGGCTGGGAACAGGCTGCTAACTGGAGAGCAGCATGGAGAGACTGCAGAAAGAGTTTGGGAACATCTCAGCTGGCATCAATGCATAAGGCACGAGAAATGCACACTGATCATACACCATTTGAGTTGCTATTGAAAGACTTCACTTCCTAGTGGTTGCATCAGACCTCCAGAGCATCAACAACTGTGACTTTTGATACTTGAGAGAAATACTAAATGAGTTTCAATTTTTTTAATTTTTTTTTTTTTTTAATTTACAAACTTTTCAGATGGTAACAGGAAAGAAGTGACCTTCAGTGTAGGAGATCTGCCCTAGATAATTAGGTAATATAGCTAATATAATTCTTGTTTAACAGCTATTAAACAGAAAGCAAGAAATGAAACAGGCAAGACGCAAGAATGACAAAACTGGTACTTGTTGATGGAGATGTTAATTCTCTGTATTATCTACAGTAGGTGGAATTAAATGTGGAATTAGAGGACCCAGCCACATTGATTATGAACAGAAATGAGGCTTTGCCAGAATGTATACAGAACCAGCAGGTTGGGAGGGGAAGGCAGGTGACCGATCAGTGCAGAAATTCTCCATCTATTAAAAATCTCTTTGATGGTTTCCAAATTGATTTAGCAAAATGACAGCAAACCTCCCCTGCACTTGACAGATGTTATACTAGCACTTTACACAAGAGCAGCAGCCTGGGCTGGATGGACAGCGTGTCATTCAGCTGAGCAGCAGCATGAACACAGCAGCAGTTTTTTTAGAGAGGCGTTTTTAGGGAAACACCCAGTTTTCAAATCAGATTGGAAGAACACCAATCTGGTTGTAAAGAAGCAGCAAAACACTGATTCAGAATGAAGTGATGTAGTATGAGAAGACTGGAAGAGAATCCTTTAGGTGACAAAATCAGATTCTTTGGCAACTGAGGCAATTGCAGCATACAGTTTAGTTCATAAATTTATCAGGCTTGTCTTGAAAATACTTAACTTATTTGTCCCATTACTGTCACTGAAAGCCTGTCCTGACAGCTAGAAATTTTCTCAGGTCTAGCTGAA